CTCATTTCACTCTGCATCGTTTCACTTAAGTCTTTTCAGATTTTTCTGAAACTATCCACTTTGTCATTTCTTATACAGCAATAATGTTCTTTAATAATGTTTAATTTAATAACAGTTCTTATAGAGCAATAATACATAATAATATGGCATAATTTGTTCCACCATTCTCCAATAGATAGACGGTTAAGATCTCCTATGTGTGTTCTACAGTCACCACTTTTCCCCCCAGCATTTGGGGAGAGTTTGGGAGTTTGGTTTTGGAGCTGTAGTGCTGGAACAGTAGGAGAGAGAATCCTTCTCAAACTCTTTCTTTGTTTTCTCCAAAGTCTTCTGGGAGATTCTGTCCCCAAGAGATTTTCCTGAAACTCAGAGAAAAGGGGCAGTGCCCTAATCTGGGCTGGGTACACCTCCCGACACACACCTTGATCTCGACAAACTTGGGGGGAGACAGTGTGTGGTACAGGAATTCCACAGAAGTCTTGCAATGCAGAAATTAGAAGCTTTTGATGACACGTGTGTGTATTTGCATATGTGCACATTTAATCATCAAGCATTTCTGAAAGACCTTCTATGTGTCAGGTACTGTACTCCCAGTCAGTCAGCAAGCATTTGTTAAATGCTTACTATGTTCCAAGCAATAGTAAAAATAATCGGGGGCAGCTAGGTGGCGCAGTGGATAGAGCACTGGCCCTGAAGTCAGGAGGACCTGAGTTCGAATCTGGCCTCAGACAAAGCACTTGACACTTACTAGCTGTGTGACCCTGGGCAAGTCACTTAACCCCAATTGCCTAAAAGCAAAAAAAAAAATCCCTCCCCTAAAGGCAAAAACACTCCCTTACTCTCAAGGACCTCACAGTCTAATGGGAGAGACAACACGTAAACAACTATGTACAAACAAAATATACACAGGATAGACCAGAGATAGCAGAAAGTGCTAGCATTAAGGGGAATCAGGAAAGGCTTCTTATAAAAGGTGAGATTTTAGCTGAGACTTGAAGGAAGCCAGGAAAGCTAAGAGGTGGAAATGAGGAGGGAGAGAATTCCAGGCACTGGGAAGAGCCAGCAAAAATGCATAGAGTTAGGATATGGAGTGTCTTGTATGAGGAACAGCACTGGTCAGTGGATCACAGAGTATGTGGTAGGGTGAATAAGACTGGAAAGGCAGGTGAGAGCCATGTCACAGGGGTTTGAATGCCAAATAGAGAATTTACCGATCCCGGAAGTAATAGATATTGGAGTTTATTTATGTAAGTTTGGGTGACATAATTAGATCTGTACTTTAAGAAGATCAATTTGATAGCTGAGTGGAAGATGGCCTGAAAAGGGGAAAGACTTGAGGCAGGCAGAACAACCAGCAGGCTATTGCAGTGATTCTGGTATGATGTGATAAGGGCCTGGATTAAGGTAATGGCATTGTTGCAAGAGAGAAGGAAATGGGGAAATCAATAGAACTCAGCAATAAAATTGATATGGGGCTGGGTAGAGGGCATGAGGAATCAAGAATGGCATTGTGTAAGCCTAGGCAACTGGGAGGATGGTGGTTCCTTTGAAAGGGATAGGAAAGTTTGGAAGAAAGAAGGATTTTGGGAGAAGTAACAAATTCAGCTTTGGAACATATTAAGTTTAAGATGTCTATGGGACATCCACTTCAAGATGTCCAATAGTTAATTGAAGATATGAACTCAGAGATTAGGAGAGAGTAGATCTGAGAATCATCAGCATAAAGAGGATAATTGAATCCATGGAAACTGAGGACATCACCAAGATAAATAATGTACAGGGAGAAGAGAAGAGGGCCCAGGACATAGCCCTCAGAAACACTTAGCATTAACAGGCATGACCTGAACAATGAGTGTGAGTGGAAAGGAAATAATGGCACCTATTGTAGACAACCTTCTCAATGAGTGTAGCCACAAAATGGAGGAGAGATATTGAATAACAGCTATCAAGGACAGATGGATCGAGTGAGCATTTTTTGAGGATAAGAGAGATACAGGCATGGTTGTAGGTAGTAGGGAAGTAGGCAGGATACAAGGAGAGACTGAAGATAGTGAAGGAGTAGGGATAGAGAGGACAATCTGCTGGAAAAGACAAGATGGAATGGGATCACTTCTACATGTAGGTGAATAGGCCGTTGACAAGAAAGGACCACCAAGAAAGGACCACTTCTTCATCTGAGACAGGATGGAGAAAGAGAGAGTGACAGAAGGCAATCTGATTGGGAAAGCTAGGTGGTGCAGTCCCTGGAGTCAGGAGGACCTGAGTTCAAATCCAGCCTCAGACACATAACACTTACTAGCCCATGTGACCCTGGGCAAGTCACCTAACCCCATTTCCTAGCCCCCCCCAAAAAAAGAAGGCATCTGGTGATTCCTTCTCTATCTCCTTTTCAGGATCCTCTTCCAGATTATACCCTCTCACCATAGGTGACCCTCATGGTTCAGTCCTGAGCCCTCCGCTCTTCATTGGTGATCTATCAGTTCCCTGGTGTTTAATTTCCATCTCTATGCTGATGATTCTCAAATCTGCTTATCCTGTGTCAAAGTGCCTGCTGACCTCCAATCTTACATGTCCAAAGGCCTTTCAGACATCTTAAACTGGATATCCGGTAGACATCTTACACTCAATATGCCCAAATCCCCAACTCATTATCTTTCCCCCTAAATTCTCCCCCTCTCCTACCATCCCTATAACTGTAGAAGGCAACATCATCCTCCCAGTCCCTCAGTCTTGCAACCTAGAAGTCATCCTGAATTGCTCACTATCACATACATTCCCTCCCCATGCAATCTGTTGCGAAGGCCTATCTATTTCACCTTTGCATCTTTGGAGGTGATAGGGAGCCATTGAAGTCTATTGAGTAAGGGAGGAAGGGGTGACATGGTCAGACATGTGCTTTAAGAAAATCACTTTGATGGCTGAATAGAGGGTGTATTGAAGTGGAGAGAGACTTGAGGTAGACAGACCTATCAGCAAGGTTATTATAATAGTCCAGACATAAGGTGATGAGGGTCACACAAAACTTCATGGAGTTATTTATCTTCTCTGCTAAACTCTATCATTATCATGTCATTTTGAGGGAGCTAGGTAGCACACTGGCTACAGTGCTACACTTGAAGTCAGGAAGACCTGATTTTGAATCCTACCCTAGTCACTTACTAATGTGACTCTGAGCAAGTCATTTGATCTCTCTGTCTCACTTTCCTCGTGTGCAAAACAGGATCATATCAGCACCTACCTCATAGGGTTATTGTGAGGATCAATTGAGAATTGCTAGCTATTGTTATTTATGTTGACCCCCTGTGAAGTTTCTGGATAGAAATGCCTTGAAGCTAGTCCGAGGGATAGATAAGCATCTTGAAACAGCAAAGGAGGGTGGCATGTATGTGGGGAGATAGGGACAGGACTGGGGTGTGTGTTGGTGGGACAATATCAGAAATTATGAAGAAGACAACATCAGAAACTGTGGAAAGTTCAAAAGAAACTAGCTAAGATTCTTTTCTGATGCTGAGTACTGGTTGGACTAGATGGCTCAGGGGTCCCTTCCAACTATGAGATTTCATGCTTCTGTGGTATGTGGGAGAGGAGAAAGATAGGATGAAGATATAGGAAAGAGAAAAAAAGATGGGATGGAGATGTAGAAGGAGAGAGAGAATTGGGGAATGGAGAAGAGAAGAGAGATGGGCTAGGGTTTAAGGAGAAGAGATATGGGATTGGTGTGGGAGGGCTAGAGAAAGATGGGATGTGATGGGAAAGAAAGAGATGTGATCTGTGGGGCAAAGAGGATGGGGTGGAGGCTGTGGGGGTAGAATGGTAGTGGGACAGGAGGAGACGGATAGGAATGGAGAGAGACAAGATGGGGTTGGAGGAGGGAAGAGAGAGATGGGATAGGATAAATGTTCCAAAGAAAGGGAGAAGAAATGAGAAGTTCCTAACCCGGCTCGTTTCTTCCCATAACTACTCTCCTTGCCCCACAAGCTAAAGCTCTTGGATTCAGTTCCTTCTGCTTCAAACGTCCAGCAGCCACAGTGAGCTGAGCATCAGCAATGTGCAGCTCACTCTGGTGATGCGGGTGGTAGTGTTTGGGAAGGTGGGGATGCTAAGGATCACGCAGTGAGTAGGACCAATAACTACTTAGGCATCCTGTCTCCTTGTACCCTTTCTCAAATCCTTTTCCTCAAGGGCTCTGAGGACTCCTAGTGGGAAGGGAGAGGACCAAATTGGCTGTTATCTATTGGAAGAAATAAATGGTGATAACAGCAAGGTGTAGTGCAAAGGGCAGGGAGCAATATGCCTGGGTTCTAGTTGTGGCTGTGCTACTGTATGACCCTGAGCAACTCTCTCAATCTCTTTGGACCTTACTTTCTTCATCTGTGTTAGACTAGATGATCTCTTAAACTCCCTTTCCAGACTAAATATTCTGCAGCTGACTGATTGGTTTGTTAAACATTTGTTGAGTTTCTACTGTATGCCAAAGCACTGTGTGTATCTACTGGATCGGAGAATTTACTACCGAGATTAGAATGGCACCTTGAGGTCAGGGCAGTATCATTTTCCCTTTTCCCTTCCCCACAATGGCATATATATATATATATATATATATATATATATATATATATATATATAAAATAGTATATAAGTAAGCATTTGATGAGTGAATTCTGAAAATTACCATTATACCTTTCATTAATATAGCTCCTTACAATTTTCAGAGCCCTTTCACATTCATTGTTTGATTTAATCCTTCCCAGAATTTTTCAAAGTAGATACAACAGATCCCCACATTATATAAGGAGAAAATGAGGCTTAAGCCATTACAGAAACTACCCAAGATCATTTAACGAGTTAGTAGTAGGGGCTGGGATTAGAATTTAGGCATCCTTATTCCAGATCTAGTGCTTTCATCACCACTTGAATCAGCCACCATTGACTTTATTAACACCTCTGCTCTCTAGGAGGGGTCCTTGATCTTGTTCCTGGCCACCTCTTTATTCCCTCAGGTTTCTACCTCACCTGGTGCCATGTTACCCCAGCAGAAGAAAATGCCATTGTCCTTCCAGACCAGGAACCAAGCTGGGCTACGACGTCATAAGCGCCGTGGCATATCCCAGCCAGTGACCCCAACCCATCAAGTCCTGAAGGATGGTGAACCTCCTACTACACAGGAAGCTTCTCCCTTCCTATTGGAACTGCAGAGCCTTCCAGGATTGGCTGACGTAGATCTCAGTGCCCCAAACCCCAACATCCAGGTGAGTGTCTGGGAAGGTGGGTCAGAGAATGGAGTGGAGGTCTAAGGGAGTGGGGTGGAGTAAGGGAGAGACTAAACTTATTTGGGAGGCAGTATGGTCAAGTGCAAGGAGCCCTGGGTTTGGAATTAGGGGCCATGACTCCAGATCTTGAATCCTGACTGTCCTCTACTATCTGTGCAACCTTGGGCTAGTCCCTTCACTTCCGAGGGCCTCAGTGTCTTCATCTGTCTAACAAAGGGCTTGAACTACATGACCTCTAAGTCCCTTCCAACTGTAGGTCAATAATCCTATGATCTTTTGGCTCCAGGTGTCATCATTCAAATAGCTACCTTTGGAGGATGATGGCATTAAGATGAAGGGGGTGGAATCTTTAAAGTTCTTTCCAAATTTCACCCTTATGATCAGTACTTCTAGACATGGAGGCAACAGTCCTCTCCCCTTCCATCCCATGCAAATGAGTTCTGTTCAGGGCTATAAAGAACTTCATAGTAATTCACATACATGTAATGCTTTAAGTTTTGTAAAAGGTTTTCTTCATGACACTCTTATGAGATAGGTAATACAATCTTTATTATCCCCACTCTAAAGCTGAGGAGATTGAGGCTCAGAGAGGTTAATTGACTTCCCCAGGGTCACAAAACTAGCAACTATTGGACCCAAGACTGAAACCCAGGTCTCCTGACTTCAAATCCAGTACTCATGTTACTACCTAGCTCTGCCTCAAACTATAAATACTTGAAATTGTAGTTTGTTCCTCAAACAGGGAAAACTTAGGAACTCAACAGTTTTGGCCATCTGTCTCTTTTATACCAAAGTGCTTTCTGTCTCCTATTTATTGCCAGAAGTAGGGAAGACTGCACATAGGAATAGAGTACCTTGGGAATCCTTGGCTCATCCAGTCCCATGGAGGTCCAGACAGGTTCAAATTCTTCTTTTCCTTCAGAGAGGCAGTGTCCAACCTTGGTTGAAATTGGGGGTCAGAAATGTGGAATTCCAATGCAGGCTGTATAGAGAAGAATGCAGACTTTGTTTCCCCATAGCCCCAACTCAGCACAGCTGGCAAGGATAGAGATAGGGAGAAGGGTTGAGGGAATGTAGCTTGGGCATTCAGCTCTTTCTGGGTCAGCTAGAGCTTGGCATAGGGAGGAACCCATCACGGGGAGAGTGGCTTAGATAAGGTAGATTCTAATTTTGGTAATTCTTAACCGTGACCTGAAAACCCCAGAAGCACCAGTATCTATGGGTTTAAGTTATCCATGGAGTTAAGATGAAAGGGGTAGAATCTCTAAAGTTCCTTCCAAATTTCAACTCTTTGATCAGTGCTTCTAGAAATGGTGGACAAAAGTCACACAACGTAATGTAATGTGATATTAAAATATAATGATATGATATAATGATATGATATAATATGATACAATGTAATATAATATAATATAATATATATTTAATATCATTATGTTGGATTATCCTATACTATAATTGTTATATTCTAATATATAACCACATATAATTGTAATTATATTTTGTAGCATGCGTATCTGTTATAAATATGTCATATTATACAGAATCATAGCATAATATTATCACTGTCTATTATTTTTATAAGCCTTTTTTAGCATTGTAAGTGGAAAGAGCACCAGGGCTGAAGTTAGAAGCCTGTGTTTGAATCCTGGCTTTCCCAGCTACTTACCCTCTCTAAGGCTTCAGTTTGTTATTTATAAAATGAGCAGGTTCAACCAGATGGTCTCTGAGGTCCTTAAAGTCCTGGGGTCTCATTTTTCCTTCATAGTCATGCCCCATAATAGAGAAAGAGCAGGCAGTATTAGAATCTCTATTTTGCAGAGAAGGAAATGTTGGCCCAGAGGAGTAATGTTTTTCTCTAGGTCACACAGTTTGTTAGTGGCAGAGTTGTAACTAAAACCCCAGCTGTCTCCCAGACTGAGGCTATTTCAGTTAGACTCTGTTGGCCTTTATCCTGGACAGTGCTCCCAACAGATGAAAAACTGAGGTAATCTCTTCTCCATTTGCCCTAGGAAGATTCATTATTTCCCAAACCATAGGGGTTGGGGCTGAGAGCACCCCCCCCCAGCCTTTAAAGGTTAAAAGAGAACCTTCTATTCATTCCCTCTTCTCTGTCCCTTGCTCCCTCTTGAGGGGACTGAGAGGAGGGAGGTAAGATGAAAGAGTACTGGGCTTAGTTCAGGATGCCTGGGTCCTAGTCTTGGCTCAACTACCAACTAGCCATGTGATCTTAGTTAAGGGTTAACTATGAACCTCAATTTCCCCGTTTTATAAATTTTACAAATGGGGACAATAATATCAGATCATGTTTGCCTAGCACTTTGCGGTTTATAAAGAGCTGTTCTGTCAAGGTAGGCAGTACAGGTATTATCATAATAATAGTCAATAAAAATTAGCATTTACGTAGTATTTTACAGCTATGACAGCTAGGTTCCAAGTAGTGCAAATAACAGTCCCGTGAAGTGGTCAGATGTTGTGGAATTCACACTATTCAAATTTATAATTATGTAAAAATATGGTCATTGGTTTCAGTCCAATGCAGTGAAATATGCAGTGAAAATTCAAATAATACAACCACTTCCCAGGATTCATTATCCAAGCTAATTGGGATCCTCACAACAACTCTGGTGCTATTATCCTGCATTTTACAGATGAGGGAACCATGAAATTATGTGACTTTTCCACAGGCACATAGCTAGTAGGTGTCCAAGCCTGGACACATTCATTTTGCAGTGAGCGTCCAAGAAGAAAGTGAGGCTAACTGTGCTTAGGAGTATTCCAACACTGGTAACTCCTTGCCATGGCCTGAATACATCAGAAACAGCACCATTCTCCAGGAGGGGTAATAATAATATCACCTTAATTGATAATATCACATTAATATAGCAATTCCCTCCTTGTCTCTTCACCGCAATTGTTGTGAGGAAGGCAAGTTGCTAAAGTAGAAAGAATGCCAGTTTTGGAGGCAGAAGAAGCAAGTTCAAAATCTGTTTGCCACTTACTACCCGTAAGAGCTTGAGCAATTGATCAATAAGCATTTATTAATTTCCTACTCTGTGCCAGGCAGAGAGGCAGCATGGCATAGTAGATAGAGTTGACCCTGGAGTCTGGGTGAGTTAGGTTCAAATCTCACCTCTGACTAGGTAACTCTCAAAGACTCTGAGTCATAAAAGTTGTCTGTTTCTAGTTGTAGGAGTTTCTTCATTCAGAGGACTCTACACCAGAGAAATCACAGATCATTCAATCAAAAAACATTTATTAAGCTCATAACTATGTGTTAGGCACTGTGCTAAGCTCTGAGGGTACAAAGAAAGATAAAAGATAGCTCCTGCCCTCCAGAAGCTCACAATCTAATGGAGAAGAAAGACAACATGCAAACAAATTATATACAGGATATATAGGAAATAATTAAAGAGGGAAGGCACTGAAGTTAAGAAGGGTTGGAAAAGTCTTCCTGTAAAAGATGTGATTTTACTTGGGACTTCAAGGAAGCCAGGGAGGTCAGTAGGTGGAGTGGAGGAGGGAGAGCATTCCAGGCATGAGGGATGGCCAGAGAAATGCCCAGAGCTAAGAGATGGAGTGTATTGTTCATGGAACAGCCAGGAGGCCAGTGTCACTGCATGGGAGAATATGTAGTGGGGAGTAACGTGCAAGAAAACTGGAAAGGTAGGAAAGGGCTAGGTTATGAAGGACTTTGAATGCCAAACAAGATTTTGTATTTGATCCTGAAGGAGACAGGGAATCACTGTAAAACAAACAAACAAACTTAAAAAGATACAGGAAAGAAGTGTTCCCGGCATAGTTCTAGGCAATCCACTCTCTTGGCTTCAGATTCCTCATATAGAAAATGAGAGGGTTGAATTAGATCGGTGATTCTTAAACTGTGGGTCGCAACCTCATAAGGTCTCAAAAAAATTGGCAACAACAAAAGTTTTCTGAACACGCAATGACCAAAAACTAATTAAAAATCAAATGAGTAATGAATCCAAGGTGTTTCTGGCAACACTTGTCCATGTTGCCTCGTGCAGCTTTGCTGCAGCCTTTGGTTCTGAACGGGCAGCATGCCCACTTTGTGCTGTGCATGCCCTCAGGCCACACAAAGCCAAAATACAGTGTCAACATGTGAAAAGGGATCCGGAGTGGAAAACGTTTAAGAAGCCCTGAACTAGATGATATTCTAAGATTAAAATCTGTGATCCTGCAGGTGTCTTGCCAGCCTTTTAGGGTCACTGTGAGGTAAAAATGAGATTCTGTGTTTGAAAGTATTTTGTAAACTGTAAAGTACTATACCATTACTATTGTTGTGGACAGAAGTGGCAGTTTTGCTGCTGAGATCTCCCTGACTGCCCAACCTGGCATCCCCCCCACCCAGGTGACCATTGAGGTGGTAGATGACCTGCAGGCTGAAATGGAGATGGACTTGTTGACAGAAACCAGTGATTACTGGTCCTTGGGCTCCCCCAGCTGGCTCCCTGCCAAAGAACTCTTCTGGCCTCTGTTCTGGGGCTACACAGAGGGTGAGGAGGGAGGATCTGGGCCCCAGCCAGAGGGAAAAGCCCTCAAAGAGGAAGAGGGAAAGGAGGACAGTGAGGAAGACTATGCCGCAGAATATGAGGAGGAAGAAGAGGAAGAGGAAGAGCCCATGCTGAGTGGAGTGGGAAGCAATTGGAATCAGAGGTGGCCAACACCGAAGACCTGGGATTTCATGGAGAAATACAACTATGGTGAGTAGATGGTACACCAAGGATTGTATGCCACCTTGGGACATTCCAGGAGGGGAAGAAGGGTCCAAGAGAGAAAGCAGAATATCACAGGGAAAAGACAGACTTGGAGAGATCACTCTTTTTGTGGATTGGGCATAAAATAATAATAATAATTCATTTGATTAAATGATTCTTGATTTTCCCTGAACTTATGATCTATGTGGCCTTAGGCAAGTCACTTAACCTGTCTTGGCCTCGGTTTCCTCATTTGTAAAATGAGAGAATTGGACTTGGATGAACCCTGAAGCCACTTCCAGCTTTAGTTCTACAATCTTTCCACCAAGTCATATCAAAAGACCTTTGTGCCATAGGAGATAGTATTAAGAATTAGAGATAGGGAACAGACCAGTGATTTAACCGATATCAAGGACTGGGTGAAATAACTCCCACTACCAATGCAGGTCAGCCCTGGAACCTTCTCTGCAACTTATAGTCTTAGAGAATTACCTAGGGTATTGAAAGGTTAAATGACTTGACCAGGGTCACACAGCCATATGTGTCAGAGGTGGGGCTTCATCCCAGATCTTCCCAGCTTTGAGACCTGCTTTCTATCCGCAACACCAGAGGTGTCAAACACTGGACCCAAGGACTGCACATGGCCCACAATGCTTCCAAGTGGGGCCCAAACCAAATTAAAACATAATTGGGAAATATCTAACAAAAGAAATAAAAATACAATAAAACTTAAAAATTACATTTAAAAACTAAATCAATATGTGCCTGTAAGGATCCTTATGTATGGTTTAGTGACACTGTTTCAATTCAGGTTTGACCCCACTACACTACACCATGAATGGGGTAGGAGGCAACTGGAATCAGAGATGGCCTCTTTCTTTAAGAGCTGCAAAGGCTAAAAAAAACTTCAACTGTTGGCTGACCTTCTGGTGGTGAGCTTCCTCTCCAGAGGGAGTGTTTTGTTCAAGGCTGTGAAGTCACTGGCAAAGGTAGGACCAGAATCAATTAGTAAACAAGCATTTATTAAATGCCCCCTCTACCAGGCACTGTGCTAGGTGCTGAAGATACAAAGAAAAAATAATAATTCCTGCTCTTAAGAAGTTTACAGTCTGTGGAGTCCATATATGACCAATGAAATCTGATCTCTGAGCTGGTAAGCAGGACAATTTCCTAGACCCTCAAATTCACCTAATTAATCTAACAGGTGAATTTAGAAACGTCAGTCAACCAATAAGCATTTATTAGGCACCCACCACTATATGTGCCAGGTGCTGGGGTTACACCAGGTACAACTCCCGACTTCAGCTCAGTTGGAGTTATCAGCAAGGTAGGGATCTCACAAGAGAGCTGGGGCAAGACATCTGGTGGACCCCAGCCAAGATGCATTTGTGGGCAGGTCAGTTATGATGAAAAAAAAATGTAGCTTCACTCAGGGTCTCAAATCTTTACTGTAGCACATACAGCTTATCACAGAATAAAATACCTACATACCATGGAGAATAGAATTTTCTGGCATTAAGAATCTGTGCATTTATTTTTTAAAATACCCCAAAGTGTTCCCCCTTACACCACCCCTTCCCCATTCCTGCTCTTGTTATTTCCTAAGTAGCTGCTTACCTAGACCACCCCTCATCTCAACTGTTGTCTATCAGATTCTCATTTCTCTGCTCCCAGATTATGAGATGGAAGAAGAATGGAGTCCCTGGTCCTCCTGTAGTGTCACCTGTAGCAGCGGTACCCAGAAGAGGACCCGCTCCTGTGGCTACGCCTGCACAGCCACAGAGTCTCGAATGTGTGAATTGCCTCAATGCCCTGGTGAGAGTGTGAGCCGTGTAAAAGGGTAGAGCTAGCGTGGATGAGCATTTAGGCTAAATGCCCTAGGGGATTGGGTGTCCTATGTTTACATGGCAGTAAGTAGGGTATTAGGCTTGGGGGTGGGGTGGTGAGGATGTATTGGAGGAGAACAAGGAATACAGTCCCATGGCTCAAGAATTCCTAGGCTTAGCTTGGCTCCCATTGGACCTTCCCAATGACCTGTGGAGATAACAAAGGATCCTACCTAGCTAGTGAGATGATCCACTGGCTTTTTATTACCCTCCAGGTGTAGTTTCAGTGTTGTCTATCTCCTACCTCCAGTCCCAAAGTCTACCTCTTCAACCCATTGGGTCTTCAATGTTGAGGAATAGGGTTAAGGGCTTGAAAGTTTGGTGGAACTTGGGGAGGGGAGGGGTCGCTGCTTTGCACTGATTTTCATTCTTATTAAAGGAACAGAAAGTAAGACAGGCTTTCCCAGTAAGGATTGGATGCCTGAAGTACACAACGACACCCAAATGCTTGGCTCAGGTCAGTACAGAGTTTGGCCTTGAGCTTGAGGAATTGGGGTGATGATGGGGCAGGGAGTGGAGGGATAGGGATAGAATCATCGACTGTGAAACTTCACATGGATAAGAAATCTCTCTCTGCAATCAAATAATAACGTAGCAATCCTCTGATAAGGAAGGCTTGGGCTGGTCACAAAGACCCATGCAGTTGTATTTCTTCCCAGTCTGGGAAGAGAGGAAATAATTCACATTTATATAGCATTTTAAAGTTTAAACATTTTATTCACAATACCCCTCTGAGGCAGGCATGCAAGTATCATTATCACTGCTTTATAGATGAGGGAACTGAGGCACAGAGAAGTTACATGACTTGGTCAAGGTCACATAGCTATCAGGTATCAGAGTCAGGATTTGAAACCAGACCCATGACATCCTAGGTCTAGTGTTCTTTACACTACGCTACATTGCAATTTGGAGACAAACTAGATGATTCAGTGGGTACAGCACTGGACCTGAAGTCAAGAAGACCTGAATTCAAATCCAGCCTCTAACATTCACTAGTTACATGACCCTGGGCAAGTCACTTAATCTCTTTCCTTAATTCATTGGAGAAGGAAATGGCAAACCACTCTAGTATCTTTGCCAAGAAAACCCTATACAGTGTCACAAAGAGTCAGACATGACTGAACAACAATATTGCCCCTCACCTCTCCAGAGACAGCGTGGGATAGTGGATGGGGCCCTGGACTTGGGAGAAGGCAAATAGGGGTCCACATCCTCCCTCAGACTTCTTAGCTGTCCTTTTGGACAAATCTTTTAAATCCTCTATGCCTGTTTCCTCCTGTAAACTAGGAGCTTTAAACCAGGTAGCGTCTGAGGACCATTCCAGCTCTAAAATCTCTGATTCTTTGAGCTTAAAGGTCATCTGGTCCAACTTCTTGCCAGAAGCATGAGTCATCTGTCATGTGACAGCCTGTACTTGAGCCCTTCTGTATCAGTGAGCAAACACAGTTGCTTTTCAGGTAGTCCATTGATCTAGAGCAACCCTGATTAACAGTAAGTATGGTCATCCTTGTCTTTCTGAGCCATGCAGCTCTCTCATTTTAGCAAGGATTTTCTTCCCTTGACGAAAGAACTAGGAGTCCCAGGCTAACCACCACGTTTCCTACCCAGTTGGTCGCTTTGGGATGCCTAATGGAATTCAGTGTGATCAGGGAAAGGGGATGAGGGGACCGAGCTGATCCTCTGAGGCCCTCAGTTTCCTCCTCATTGGATCAGAGGGGCAAGGTCATTCTTGCCTTGAACTTGGGGAACAATGAATAATGACTTGAGAGGTGGGGAGATAGTACTGCCTGCTAACAGATATCGTCAGCGTATTTCAAATGTATGACCTTTTTGTGTCTTGACTTAGTTAAAAAAAAAAAAAGGACAGGACACTGAATTACAAGGATAGTGAGGTAGTCGTAGCATTGCCATACTTCATACTTTTCAAAGTGAAAAATTCTGAGGGTCTTCCCCTCCCAGATGGATTCTTTTATTTAGGCAAACTATACCATCTTATGCCTCAGTTCTTACCTGGCCTTTAACTATTGAATGGGCATTGCTTCAGACAAACTGAGACCTGAGAAAGATCTTAGCTTAAAAAGGCCAAGGTCTCCCACTGCATCCTGGGCTATCACCAGTCATCCCGACCTATGTCTTGCCACTGGACTCTGATGACTCTGCAGGAGAGAGTGAGGCTAATGACTTAGCATAGCTCTGCCTCACTTAAATCCACTTGTAAGTCAATACATCATCCTGCTAATACCATTGGTCCTCTTTGAGAATGAAGAATTTGGGCTCAAAACCTGCCTCTGATGCTTTCTACCTGTGCTGGGCCCTTAGTTTCCTCATCTGTAAAATGAGAGGGTTGCATTAGATGACCTCTGAGGTCCCTCACGGCCCCAGCTCTACAATCCTCTCATCTATTTAATCCCAATTCAGTGGTGAGGTCAACAGGGTCAGGTCCCATTTGGCAAATTAGGAGACTAAGCTGCAGAGATTTTATCTGTATCACAAAACTAAAGAGTGGCCAAAATAAGACTGAACCTTAGCTCTTTTAATGCCTGTCTGTGTGGGATATGGCACCTTCTCTCCCAGGTTACCCTTTTCCAGGGACACTCCCTAAGATGTATGTCCGAGATGGTATATATGAAGCTCCCAGCTCAGGCACCAAATCTGGTCTCCCTTCCAAAATGAAATGGAACATACCTGCAAGTTAATGTGCCCCCTGATGTTGGAAGTGTTCAAGCATGGGCTGCTTGACTGTGGTGATAGCACGTGCTCCAGGTAAAGTGAACTGTACTAGATAACCTCTGGAGGTCTTTGCCATCTCTGGAATTCTGTGGTTCCCCGAGAGGACCACATTGCCATGGTGGTCCTGAGAAGGAAGGGCAGTCTCTCCCCAGCTGTAGCTACAGTAGGTTTCCTTGGACCCCTTCCTCCTGAATAGGAGTTTGACGAGCAGGGTAGGGAGAAAGGAGTGTTTCCTACTGACCTTGCCCCACTGGCCTCTCACTCTGATTCCAACTCCCAGAGTTACCCTGACAGCAGTTTAGGGGAAAAGACCTGTAAGACTTAGACCCTTTTACAATGGTAGGCTCTCATTGCCAAGTTCATGATGACTACTGGATGCTTTGAAGAGGATAAGAAGGGAATGATTGCATCCCACTCATTCATTCGTTCATTTTCTCAATTAACATTTATTTATTGAACACCAACACTGTGCTAAGTCAAAATGGATTCCTTCCTTTCCCCTGCCCAGAGGTAGACAGCTGTGAGAAGTGGCTGAACTGCAAGAGTGACTTCTTGGCTAAATACCTGAGTAAGGTGCTGACAGATCTGCCCAGCTGCCCGTGTGCCTATCCTCTGGAGGCCGTGTACAGCGCTGTGAGCCTTCCAGATGAGCAGCAAGGCAGAAGCTTTCGCTGGAGGGATGCAAGTGGCCCCAAGGAGCGCCTGGATGTCTATCAGCCAACCGCCCGCTTCTGCCTGCGCTCCCTCCTCTCTTTGGACAGTACCACGCTGGCTGCCCAGCACTGTTGCTATGATGAGGGCAGCCGGCTGCTGACTCGTGGCAAGGGGGCTGGTGCACCTGACCTCATCAGCACTGACTTCTCCCCAGAGCTGCACTTCAAGGTGGACACACTGCCTTGGATACTGTGCAAAGGTGACTGGAGCCGCTACCATGCAGCACGACCCCCAAACAATGGGCGGGCCTGTGCTGACAACCCACCTGAGGATGAATACCTGGCCCAGTTGCAGGAGGCCAAAGAGTATTAACCAAAGGGTCAGGGAGGCCCAAAGCACGGAGGATGAATGGAGGCTTGGCTTTGTCTCTGGTGGCTGGGCCAGAGGCGATGGGGTCCTGTTGGCTGCTCCCTAGGAATATCTGGAAAAGGGTAGGGTAAGAACACCTCACAATTGGAGTATCTATGCCAAGCTGCTCAGTGGGGGAGGGTTTTTCTGGGCATCTCTGACCTTGCATGATTTCTCCCAGTTTAGTGGAATGAGAAGGCTCCCTGAAAGAGGGACTTCTCAGTTTATTGGCTCCACCTGTCACTTTCTTGTTTGAAATATGGAAGGTGAAGGAAGAGTGAGTGAGTGTGTATGTGTGTGTGTGTGTGTGTGTGTGTGTGACAGAGAGAGACAGACAGACAGATAGACAGAAAGAGACTCAGAGACAGAGACAAATAGAGTGAGTGAAAGGTTGGTCTTAGATGAGCACATCCTTGGGTTCTGGGTGGAGAAAAGAGGGGCATGTCATTCAAAAAGCCCTTAATAGCTCTGTGGATTCAGCTTTCCTATCCCCCAGCCTCTCTCTCTTGCCTTCCTGCAAGGAAACTTTTGTTTTCCTCTCATCCCCATGTTCCTGTGTCCTCATCACATCGGTTTGGACACAAATTTTGGCATACCATCCAACCAGACTCCAGTATCTTGGGGAGAAGGGTTGGGAACTTAAGTCTTGGTTAATGTAACTTAGGAGTGGCTCAGTTGAATTAGAGATAAGCACCTTCATCTCCAGTGACTCTCTGAGGATCTAGGGAATGATTGAGGGTTAGTTGAAGACTAGTAACAGGAGGACCCAGTCACTCAGATTTGTTCGATCCCATGACTTCCCTCCCTCCTTTCTGAGGGGTCTGAGCAAATAGGGTGGGAGAACATTATTACCATTGCCAGACATCTCCGGGACAGTTACTTTGGCTTCAGCCAGCTCTGTAAAGGGGCACATACCTCATTCGCTCTCCCCACCCCTCCCCCAAGAGTCTGGCTGAGTACCTCAATGCCACCACCCTCCTATTTTCCCCAATAACGTAACAGACTAGACATTTACTTCTGTTGTTTGGGGGTAATGTGTAGGCATCTGGATAGGGAGAGTAATGCAAGATGCCAGGCATCTTCAGCCCACAGAGTGCTCGGGATAGATTCATGAACTGCCCACTTGTGTCAATAGTTCCTTAGTCTGCATCAAAGCAATCCCACAAAGGCATTAATGTCTGAAGCAGGTGGATGGCCTGGATGTGTTGGGAGGAGGAAAGCTGGTAAGAACTGGATTGGTTGGATTAGGGCTAGGGGAATGGTACCCAACCAGGGAAGAAGAGAAGAGGATGTTCATGCTGATCCCAACCCTTGCTCTCCATCCTATGGAATTTTGCTCCCACTCCTACTCCCACAATGGGAATGTGAAGGCCTGAGTGAGGATGTGATTGGATGTCAGAATAGGGCAGGATTGAAGAAGGGTGGGTTTTATAGCTACAAAACCTGGGATGGGGCTATAGTTTACTTAGAATGGTGTGCAAATCTCTACTCCATACCTATCCCCTCCCAACACCTAAGAGCCTCTCATTTCCTGTTGTCTTTACTCCAGCTCTCTGGTGCCCCTCTTTTCCATCCTGGGTTGCAATGTCTTGTAGCTTCTCTCGGTGAGTGGTTAACTTGCTTTAGTCCCAGCTGTCACTTGTTACCAAGTTCTTTGGAGTGTAGGAAAGAGGGTAAAGGAGACTCAATGAGCTGCGATGGGATCTTTTTGGGTCTTCAGCAATAAAGCACTTTATTTGAAACCACTGCCTGGTAAAGCAGGGAGCAGTGGGAGGAATCCAGGGGTGGTTGAAATGGATTTGAACAGCCTATAGCCTACCTGGTAAAGGCTCTCAGGAGGGCACTGAAAGGAAGATGTCCTCATTAGGGGTTGCCTCTGAGGGCTTGGAATTTACCTTATAGGGAGATGTGAGCAGGGCAGGACAATTCAAAGACAACTGGCTATTTGGCTCCTGAAACCCTTTTTTGCACTTTAACAGGCAGGCATGGGAGGCAAGGGGAGGGGGACATTAGATCACCATGCATTTAGCAATTTTATTGAAATCTGGACTAACACTCGAAAGGGTACTTCTTTCTTTCTATACTCACATGCATTTGAATCATGCAAATGTGCAAATCTATTTATTGTGCTGCATTAGAGAGTGCTTACCCAGGACAGCAATGGTACTTGCCTGGAGTACCCTCAGTCTTCTCAGCTGCCCCTACACCTGCTCCAACTTAGGCTGGGGTGAGAGGAAGGAATGTTGGCTGTCAGGGCTTCCACTGGCCCTGTAATATGACCTACAAAGTGCCAGTCCAGATATGTTTGGATTGCCTCTCCCAGCTCTTCCAGAAGCTCCTATGAGAACTTTCTGTCATCTCTGCCTGATAGTGGGAACCAGTGTTCCCTGGCCTGTCCCTCTTCCTGTCTCACTTTCTTCTTCACTTGAAAGCTGACAATTTGTCTGGCTACTTAATTTTGAGCCTAGCCCCTGTATTCAAAGCAAATTTGTAGAGGACTGTTTCAGAGGCCAAAGGCTGTACTGTTTATGTCAGCGGTGGTTGCCCCCACTTCACTCTTGTTAGAGAAGGGCCCACTAGCAATAGCTAACATTTACAAAGCACTTACTATGTTCCATGCACTGTACTAAGCACTTTACAATTATCTCATTTGATCTTCACATCAATCCTGGTGCTATTATTATGCCCATTTCACAAGTGAGGAAACTGAGGCAAACAGAAATTAAGTGACTTGCCCAGGGTCACACAACTAGGAAGTGTTTGAAGCCAAATGTGAACTCATGTCTTACTGATACCAGGCCCTGGGTTCTATCCATTGCACTACCTAGCTGCCCCAACTAAGGCCAGTTTTGGGCTGCAAGATCTTCCCTGCCCTCTTTTTATAGGATAAATCACAACAGCATTATAGGAAGGGACTTTGAGGATCATCCTTCACCATACGGGTGAGAAAACTAAAGTCCAGAAAGGAAACATGGTTTGCTTTGTCATTGGGTGAATATGAACAGTAGCAGGGCTAGGCTAGAACTCTGGGTTCCTGACTCCAATGCTAGCTTTCTTTCCTCTGTACATTTGTAACTCTTGGTGTTTGGGGAAATTGTATAGCCAGAAGCAATGAAGCATTACAGTCCCTGAAGAATTGGAGTTGAGGACCACCCCAAGGGCTAGGCAGAGGCACACATTGGACTCTCGAACAGGCTGACAATACACTGTGAACGAGGGCATTTGAAGGTGAAGTGGGGTAAATGAAGAAATACAAAGGTATGCTAGTTGTGTGATGAGAGGGAGTCATAATGACCCATGGTATTAAGATGTCAAGAGAATTCAAATGACCCTGCATGTTGGGTGGACCTCCCAAGGGAAATTTATGGGAAGACATTGTAAGGGTTGCACCGGGTGGGCAAGCATGGATTGGTTGTGATGTGTGTGCCCAGAGGGCATATCAATGAGATCTCAAAGTTATTTTAGTATTAGGACTGGGAGAAGGGAACAGGAGGATAAGTTGGGAAGTAATAATAAGGGAAGGTATACTCTTCAGTCATCAAGGGACGCCCCCTGGAATTTTGGCTAGCCAGATACTTTCTTACTCCAGTCTGTATTTGTGCACATTGCACAAGATGGTTTTGTTCTTTTTGTCTCAGGAACCTGGCAACAATAGCAATAAACACGTCTTAGGTTGGAGGCGGAGCCTCCTGTGACAACCAGTTTGCAACACTGTCCACTTGTAAATTGAAACACTGTTAATTTCCACTGCGCCAAGTTCTGATTTTTTGGGTGACGTGTGATTTCATCAGTTCAGAGAATTTCCAGAGTGGAAAGATAAGTAACTAATAAATCTTAGACTTGACTAGGGGCAGGGAAAGAATAAGTGATTTGTCTATAGACTGAACTAAATTTAATGTGTGAAATGGGACACATATTAAATTGCTACCATATCAAATCACTGGCAAAAGAAATAACCTCGAGTGGTAAGAACCATGATGGAGATGGGAATGGGTGGGACTTTGAAGTGATTATCCAAGACAAGAAAGATAATAGACACACAACTGCCTCCAGGTAGGAATAAACAGCACCTGTGCTTGAGATGAAATGGGAATGGGATATTATAGAACCTGGAAGGAGGGTAGGTGAGCATTACCAAGAAAGCCTGGTTTCAAGCTAACACCCAGAGAAGGGAGCTATGAAATCGATACATTTCATTACTCTACCACTACCACTCCACCATGTCTTAGTAGAATTCCCTTACTCATTAATCCCACCTTTGGCCAAATAGACATCCTCACCCTTTATCTAAACAAATATCTAAGACTGCTGATACTGTGATCCTAGGCAAGTCCCCTAACCTGAGTTCCAGTCTCTTCATCTGCAAAATGGGAGAATAATTGGACTAGTTGGCTGCTAAGGTCCCTTGTAGCTCTAAAAACTATGATTGTTGAAAACCACTCATTCAACAATGGCTATCTGCACTAGTCACCCAGGTAATTTCCCTCAAAGCTGTTATAGTATTTTCTTCCCTCGATCTTTTGGGAAAACTTAATCTTTCAGAAAGTGTGGCTCAATAAATACTGTCCAACTTGGTTCTACATTAGACAAGGATAGATACCTTCTTTCTCCTAGGAGCTGATTTTTAAAAAAATCCATTGGATTCTTTCCATCTCCCAAAATACAAAAACCACTTTTTTCAGACCCTTCTCTCCTTCACTCCCTTAACCCCCAAAGAAGATATAGCTACCTCCATTGATTCCTCGATTTTGATTGCATTTTTATATTGAAGTAACTATTTAAGATTTGCAAATTGACTTGATTCATTTCAGAATTACAGTTCTGGTATAGGGCACAGGGTGGTTTCTTTTAACTTCGGAGGAGAAAGAAAAAGAAATGAGCTTTTCTGGTGTTGGGATTGGATATTTATAGTACACAGATAGAACATTTCTGCTTTGTATCTTTTAGGTGCATCGTTTAGCCATTGGAGCATCTATCATGCATAAGAATAGCTTTTTGTTCACTAGTGGCATCTACCTGGAAGATAGTGTGGCATCCTCTTTAAAGAGTTTATTTGTAACTTTTCTTCCAGAAGTTGTCAGTATAGGAAATACCAATAACGATACTCCAAATGTCCTGGAGATAGTTTCACTATGAAGTCCAGGCTCCACATCCAAAGATCTTGGATAGTTCCCAATAATAGCTTACCTTTCTGTATCATTTTATGGTTGTTATTGTTTTCAGTCATTTTGGTCCTATCCCACTCTTCATGACCCCATTTGGGGTTTTCTTAGCAGAGGTACTAGAGTGGATTTCCCTTTCCTTCACCAGCTCACTTTACAGATGAGGAAACTGAAGCAAACAGGATTAAGTGACTTGCCCACGGTCATATAGCTAGTGTCTGAGGTCACATTTGAACTCAGGAAGATGAGTCTTTCGGGCTTCAAGCCCGGCACTGTATCCACTGTATCACCTAGAGGCCCCTAAAGCCCAATTTATTTCTTCCCAGAGCTCTTTAACATCCATTTCCTTATTTGATCCTACCAATAATAATCCAGCAAGATATGTGATACAAGAACTACTGTCCTTATTTTACAGCTGAAGAAATAGAGGCTAAAGAAAGACTGATTTGTCCAGGGTCACAGAACTCCATGGCAAGTCCACTGACTTTGGAATGAAAGGATCTGTATTCAGATTTCAGCTCTGCCACAATGTACCATCCCTGTGACCTTCGGCGAGTCATACACTCTATCCAGGCATCTATTCAGTGTGTTTGGATCGTGTGACTTCTACAATCCCTTCTGAGCTTTAAATGTGATTCTGTGATTCCTATCCAGTAAGGTTACCACAATGCCATAGTACTTTCTGAGGAATTCAAACCTAAGAAAGTTGTTTGGGGACTGGATTTTGGGCTTCTCTTAAAAGCTGAGACTCTGGCTTACTTTGAAGCCTTGACCATCAGCATCACAGCTTCTGTACAAGAAGAAATACTCTCAGGAGAGTCTAGGTGTTTTCAAGCGTGAAGTGCCAGGTACTGTATCTACTAAGAACCAGAAAGTTGAGAAAAATCCTATTTCCCTCATCAGAACACCCAAGAATTCAATTAAGTGCTAAAATGGATGTAAAACCCTGAAAATGTAAATCCTGCTCTCGAAGAGCTTAATTTCGAGTGATGCCTAATCAATTAGTGATGTGGGAATAACCCAAATGACAAATTCAAATCCTCCATGTGTTCCCCACTCCTTCAAACGTTTTACTTCTAACGTCATTGAAAATGAAGCTCAGATTGGCAACCAAATGTTTTGGGGCCAAAGAGGCAAAGAACTCAGTATCTGGTCACCCCTCGAAGTAAGGTCAAAGCAGAACGGCATACCATGGAAAGACCAATGAACTACGAACCAGGTATGAATTAGGCCCAAGTTTGCCACTAACTTTACTATGTGAATTTAAGTACATTATTGGCAGTCTGACACTTTCTAGCACTGTATGATTCTTCTTACATACAGCTGTTGTGCCCTATAGCACTATTAAGGAAAGAAATGGGTTTTATTTGGCTTGTAGGAAGCAGTCTCTCCCCAAGCCCAAACACCACCCCTTCTCCAAGCTATGCCACTGGTGGAATATACACAGATGGCATGTATGATCAGAAACAAACTCCTCCTATCTTACTTGCCTCGATTCCAGTTGCCTATACAGAGATTCTTCATCTCACAGCTCCAAGCTGAGATATGGACACTGTTTCTACGTGTTTTTTTTTAAGTTACGTTTATTTAGCGTATGTACACATAAAAGAGAATGCACTGTCTGATCCCGCCCGGCAGAAAACATGCACAAACCCACGGTATATGAATGGGGAGGGAGCCTAGGCCCCACAGTAGTGGTTGGGATGGTGCAATCCTGCCAGTCACAGCTGCAGGACAGTAGAGAGCTGGACCGAGCTGCTGGGTGGGCCATGGCCCTGTAGAAGTTAACGTTAGAATAAGCGTGCACCATAGCCAAAGGTCTGTTTGATGCTCTCAAAATAGTACCGCTGCCAGCCCTGTCTTGTCCGTTCTTCCTCTGGTGATGGGATGCCTTTGCCTTCCATGAGAAGCTCTGTCTCTCCATCTTTGTCAATAAAGGTCAAGGTAATGGTAGCAAAGTGTCCTGGGGAGAAATCAAACAAGTCATCAGGACTTCAAATTTCACTTTAAAATCTCATTTGAAGGAGACCCAGTTCCTCAAATCCCTCTCCCGTAACAGTGCTTTCCAGCCTGAGAGGTTTAGATTTTTCTAAATGTGGGAAATGGTTGAATATATATAAGCTTGTCCCAAGCTTGGAGATGACCCAAGAATGGTACTACCTCAGAGATTCCCAGAAACCGCTTCAGGACTGAGTAGACCCCAAATCCGCTGCTTAGTTTAGGGATACATACAATAAAAGAAGAGACATTTACCATCAGGCCATGACTTAAACCTCCATTTCATCACAATCTTGTTTTCAGGGACCTACAAGGGTGAAAGAAGTCAGTCTGGTCAAGACTTGCCTTCTCAATTAGCCTCCCTCCTCCCCCCTGCACTCTCCCCAGCACAGGCTGAAGTCATATAGTGTCATCCAAGAAATTCTGCTGCTGCTAAGACAAAGCAGTGCATACATGTTAACTTCTACAGCTCCTAAATT